TTAAGTTGAGTTGGAGAAACCAGCCCTAAGTATGGTTCTGCCATAACAAAGCTTCTTGTTAAAACCATTTAGGATATGGGAGGTATGAACGCGTTTTAATTTCCTTTTGACAAACGTATGTAATTTTGTGCCCTCAACCAATTAAAGTATCTCATCCAAACATAGAGATAACAGAAATTTTAAGAGAGCTCCAGAGGTTAGCGATAGTATGAGTTAAATACCTGCAACCGCCTTGAACACGCGAAGCAGGTGTTATTTAGCCACATTGACCGAATAATAAAAGCGACGTAGCTCGTTCGTACAGAACCCTAGCTTATGATCTCTTAGTCTGCTCTTAGCATCCTGTTGTTATCCTCAACCTCTCTCTGTGGAAATTTATGATTGTCCTGTACCTTGCAAGTTTGTAGCCTCCTATGAGCATTTATCCTTAGGCCCTTAATAGGGTCGGCTGACAGTTGTCCTCGGGAAGACTATGATTGACATCACCGCCATGCAACAAATGCACTAAACGGACAAAGGCAAGCAAAATTAGTGACCTTGTGACGTCGTCGCGTCTTGCCACAAAACGCACAAGGCGACCAAACCTCTCTTCTATGTGTCCTTGGATCGTCAAAAAATTAAACCATCAAGACGAAACGTCCAGTTTAGAGTACTAGGTTCTAGCATAAAAAGATCTTTCGAGCTATAAAGCCGTCTCCGGTTGTAGTGATAAGTGAAAGGCATGCGTCCAGTTTCTTGGATGTACGTACTCTCGGAGAGCAAAATATGTCGCAATGCTGAATTACAGCAGACGGCCAGCATATATGCTACGAAATAAAAAATGCCAGAAAAACGTGACTGACCTTCTAAGCGTCGAGAATAAGGTTTTATTGAGCATGTTGTGTGAAAGGCTAAGCCAACGGTAAAACGGATATGTGTGGGTTTAAACATAGTAAATCTACCAGTGTATACAGTACGATAACTCTTGGAAAACCCCCTCGAGAAGGGGATAGACACACACCGGTTCTTCTATTGTAAGTGAGTGTAGAATCGATTGAAATCGGATTCAATATAATTCTTGACGGAAAGAAATATGTATTGGAGAAAACTCAACCGCATTCAGTAGACGAGGACATGTGATTTCAGATACTGCGTATTGGTTAAAAAAAGGCTAAGTCGCAATGCTATGTACAAAATATAGACTAAAAAACGAAAACGCACAATATATTATTAAATGAGGAAGGTGATCCGCATACCTTGATGTCCTTTGTATTCACTGGTGTCAGTAAATCTAGTTTTTCGGCATTTTTTCCAGCTATAACTTGCATTAGCAAACCCAAATCTCGACCAAAGCGTGTAATAGGACCCAATGCAAGATACTGTTGGCAATCGGCATCCTTACTACCTGGAAAATGTCCCTCAATAGAAGTGAGGCCACCTGTGGGTTTGTGTCCAAAAACGCCATTAAATAAAGCTGGAATACGTATAGATCCGCCGATGTCGGAGCCAATGCCAAATAAACTGGCGCCAGCGCCATTCAAAGCGCCCTGCGTCATAAAAGAGAATTGTTCAAAAAAAAAAACGTTGCTTAAAAATGTAAATTTTGTACTTGGAAGCACTCACCTCTCCACCGGAAGAGCCACCTGGTGTGCGTCCGCTATCATGTGGATTTAAGCAGCGTGCTTGCGTGGCCGGATTTGATTCTATGCCAAAACAGTATTCAGCAGTAATGGAAACCAATAATGGTATGCCACCAGCGGCAACCAAAGTGCTCACAACCGCGCCATGCTCAGCACTTGTCAAATGCGCGCGTTGACGGCTGCCAACGCGTATTGGCATGCCTAAAATGTTTATTAATATGTACATATGTAGGTGTATAATTGTTAATGTTAATTTTTTCGCTATCAGCTACCTTTCACTCCACAGCATTCTTTCACCGTAAATGGTACACCCAATAGCGTGTAGCGGCTAAAGAGTGTTGGTAATTGTTCATCTGTAGCTTTGGCGATGAGTCCATCAGCACGGATGGCATCTTCAAGAGCATTGGCGAAACGATCTTGCACCAGGGCGTTGATATGAGGTTCCACTTCTTTGATGCGTTCCACATAGGCTTTGACTAAATCTTCTGATTTTAACTGAAAATAAACGTAATAAATATCGAAGATTAAATACTTCGAATGATCCACGACCTCTATAATTAAAAAGTTCAGGTTCTGCGCAAAAACACTACCGCCGCTTTTCTCCGAAGGTCATGAAGACGTTCTTCATTGTTTTATAAAACTCATATGTATGTATGTTTTTGTAATTACTCATTGTAAAAAAGTGCCTTTAAAAATTCGATCCATGGATTATATCTCAATAATTGCAATTATTTTTTTTGGCTTTTGATTAATCATGTGATTAATTAATCGATTACTTTATTTTTTTTTTGCCATCCCTACACACACCAGACGTTGAATTTTGGCGAGGGACTGCCTGGCCGTTGCCAGAGTAGTCCTGGATACCCAAAACCACCATCCAATAGGTTAATTTTGGTTGTACAATTATTGTGTACATCCATCTCAGGATCCTTGAAGTGCACCCCCAGGACTTCCCCGGTAGACATTTGCACACCATCAGCACTCTCCTAGCCTTGGAAGTAACCGCCTCAACATGAGTCCTTCACAGGAATTTGGAGTCCAGGATAAGACCAAGATACTTAACTTCTGTGACGACATTGACCGCACCCAATCCAATGCTACATTCCTACAATTTGGAGTCCAGGATAAGACCAAGATACTTCACTTCTGTGACGACATTGACCGCGACACAATCCAAGGCTACATTCCTACAATGGCTGTTTAGAGGGATTTACTTGTACTCTTAGTAACGTCACTCGACGAAGGTTTTTCCTAACAGCGGTTGCCCCTCGGCAGACAATGGCGATCCTCCGAGTGTATTTCTGTCATCCATTTGCCCTTCAGATGCGGCATACAATTGTAGATTCCTTCATTTGTTTTATAAAACCTTGAAAAAGTGTGAGCGGTATATATTAATTTTTATTAAATTCGGTCCACAAGGTTGACCTTTCACGCTCTGATTTTCATTCCAATGAAAGGCGAGATGCCAAGTAAGCAATTGCTAAATATGTATGTATGTATTTACATGTACATGACTACTTGAGCTGTGGTAGCACAATAGGCCTTCGATTTAAAGTATAATCCACATAATAAAATAAAATACATACATATACGTAACTTATCGACGAAGTATGTATCTTTCTATCTGCTTTTATCGTATACCAACTATAAGATTGATCTAACTTTGATTGCTTACTCCCGCAAATTAAATTATTATTTTTTTTTATTAAATCTCTTTATTAATAAACGTGCGGCTTATTAAGGGATGCCCTTTAATGACGCTAGTAGTAATATCGAGCTTCTAATTGAGTTCAATTTATCATTAATGATTTACGCAATTGATATTTAATTGTACATAAACCTATATTCTCTAAACAGCCCTGTGAGAAAATGGTAACTAAAAAATTTGTGTTTCTCCTGTTAAAATTTAAAATTTGTCAAATAGGGCACTCGGGACCCGCGGGATCAATGCTACTAATTTAAAAACTTCCAGGATGAGCGGTATCGGAAGGTTGATTGATTTTAAGCTCTTAAGGAAGGAAGGTCTTAAGAAAATTTGCGGGCGTGGCAGAAGAAAAATCCTTTCCTGACACTTCCGATAACACCCGAAGTCGGCTAGCATAGCTATTAACTACAATTAAGTACTTAACGAGCCATTTGTACATCTTGATAAGAAGGAGTAGACCGTCCAGTTATTTTTTTTTTGCAGCTATCGGCCCTTCGCTGATTGGGATGATCCCTTTTGGGTCGGATGATGAGTTAAATTCTCTTCCCATTAACAAGCTTCTAGGATAGATATT